CCCTTTTTGCTCCTTTTTGGGGCTGTTTTTTCTCCCCCACCCCCCGTCAGCATCATATGGGGGGGCTGTGTGTTCCCATGTGGGGTTTTGGGCATCGAGGGGAGATGTCTCTCCCCACTGCAAGGGATTTCGGCCCCTGGAGCCCCCCCGAGCACTCGCAGCCCCTCCGTGTCCCCCCCATCCCTTTGCCGGGGGGTTCTCCTTTGTGCAGGGACCYTCTCGGGGGGTGGGGTGTCACCCGGAGGGTGACACGGGAACAATGTTCCTAAAGAGCAGCGCTCCCTGTGACAGCCGGGGGCTCCGGGACATGATGGATGAGCGGCCTCTGGAGCGGGGACAAAGCCCCAGCTGCCCCGCGCTTGGCGAGGGGGCTGCGGGAGGGGACGTGGGACCCCTCGGGGGGGGTCACGAGGGTCACCAAGCACAGAGCTTGGGCTGGGGCCCTTGTCCTCGCCGTCACCCCGCTCTGGGTGAGCCCTTGCCCCCGTCACCCCCGTCCATTCCCCCGGGCGCATCCGGCGCCAACCCCGGCATCCCCCACCTCTCCCCCTTTACCAGGTAACGAGAGCCAGATGTGGCCCAGATGTGGCCGGGGGGGCTCGTCCGTCCCCCCGTGGGTCGCCTTGAGCCACCTGCAGCTCTCGGTGTCACTGCCAAGTGTGGGGGCTGCGGCCGCGCCCCCCCCGTGCTCCCCCAGGCTCGGGGAGGGGACAGCGCGGTCACATCCCGGTTCACCGCGGGACGTTGAGGGGCAGCTCGGTGCCACCGTCGCTTTCCCCAGGCGTGAACATGATGCTGCGGAAGATCGCGGTGGCGGCGGCGGCCAAGCCGGCGGTGGAGATCCGGCAGGACGGGGAGAGCTTCTACATCCGCACCTCGACCCCCGTGCGCACCACCGAGATCCGCTTCAGGGTGGGCGAGGAGTTCGAGGAGCAGACGGTGGACGGGCGGCCCTGCAAGGTGTGTGCCTGGGCACGCACAGGCACCTGCACACGTGTGTGAGTGTATGTGCATGTGTGTGTGCATGTGTGTGTGTGTTTGTGTGAGTGCCACACTGCCAGGTGCTTGAATATGAGTGTGTGTTTGAGTGTGAGTGGGTGTATTTGAGCATGAGTGTGTGTGTCTGTGTGTTAGTGTATGTTTGAGTGTGAGCATGTGAGTGTGAGTGTGTGTTTGAATGTGTGTGTTCGAGTGTGAGTGTGTGTGTGCATGTGAGTGTCACACTGCCAAGTGCTTGAGTGTGTGTGTGTTTGAATGTGAGCGTGTGTTTGAGTGTGTGTGTCTGTGTTTGAGTGTGTGTCTGTGTGTTAGTGTATGTTTGAGTGTGAGTGTGAGTGCATGTGTGTGTATGTGAGTGCCACACTGCCAAGTGCTTGAATGTGTGTGTGCATGTATGTGTGTTTGAATGTGTGTGTTTGAGTGTGAGTGTGTGTGTGCATGTGAGTGCCACACTGCCAAGTGCTTGAGTGTGTGTGTGTTTGAATGTGAGTGTGTGTTTGAGTGTGTGTTTGTGTGTCTGTGTGTTAATGTATGTTTGAGTGTGAGTGTGTGTGTTAGGGTGTTTGAGTGTGAATGTGAGTGTATGTTTGAGTGTATGTGTGACTGTGCATGTGTGTGTGTGAGTGCCACACTGCCAAGTGCGAGTGTGTGTGTGTTTGAATGTGTGTGTTTGAGTGTGAGGGTATGTTTGACTCTGTGTGTGTGTGCATTATGTGTGTGTGTTTGAGTGTGAGTGTGTGTGTTCAAGTGTGTGAGTGTGCACACATTGCACCAGGGCAGGTTCTCTCCCTCACTTGTGTCACACACACACACACACACACACACACACACACACACACACGCACACACACGTGTGTGCACGCTCATGCCTGCACACGTGTCACGCCTGCACACACATTACGCAGGGACAGCACCGTGTGTGCACATGTGTGTTCACACGTGCGCATTTGGCACGAGAGTGGGAGCTCTCGCTCCTGTGCGTGCACACTGAAGCGAGTTCCCCGGCTAAGGGGAGGCTGCTCCCCCTCTTTCTGGGCCCCCAACCCCTCCCTGAGGCCCCCAATTCCTTCCCATGCCCCCATCCCCGCCCTGATCCCCCCAATCCCCTCTTCACACCCCCCATTCCTTCCCTGTGCACCCCAACACCTCAACCCTTCCCTCTGTCCCCCAAACCTTTCCTGAGCTCCTCATCCCTGTTCTGCACCCCCAATCCCTGCCCTGGGCTCCCCAATCCCTTACTGTGCCCCCAAACCCTCCCTGTGACCTACAATCCCTTTCCTGTGCCTCCATCCCCGCCCTGAACCCTCCTAATCCCCTCCTCACACCCGCCAAACCTTCCCTGTGCCCCTAAACACC